ATGTTAAAGAAAACAAATTATGAATTAAAGATAGTAAAAGAAAACACTTCCTAGAAACTTAGAGCACAAGAGAAGTTCCGAAAGCCTAAATATTCATAAACAAAGATCCTATATTGGAAACCTTTGCAAAAGAATATTATCAATAAACTATAAAACCTATAAATTCACCAACATTATGTTGACCGTTTTCAAATCACATGTATTCATAGGGAGCCGAAGAAGAGCCGAAGAAGAGAAGATCATTCCAAAGGAACTAGAAGACGCAATAAAGTAGATAGTTTATGATGTGTAAAAGCATTTAATGTAATCCATGTTTAAATAAATACCACGCACTATTGGCTTTATGTCTTATGGTTATGATATTCAACTAATGTCGCATAGCTCGGCGTTTCCGCTGCTGGCCGAGGGTGTGACAGAGTATGTATAGAGTATGAGATGAGCCTGAGAAGAAGTTAAGTAAGAATAGCACAATATGCTATAAGAAGAAGAATATATGGTAGAGCAATAGATAGACGAGATGAGAAAGATGGAGGATAAAGCAGAGTATGAGAAAAGAGGAAAAAATTTAGAGTATGTGAAAATAGAGAAAGATAAAGAGGAAGAGATTAGATTGTAGAGTATAAGAAAGAAAATATAAGAGAAGGTTAGAGTATGGAAAGATAGAAAGAGCTAGAATAAGAGTATATGGACATGAAAATAGAAAGAATATAATTCATCAAACATTGTTTTCTAATGTTGTAGAGATGTTTCATGTTTTGTTGGTTCTTCTAGCAACTGTGGTACGTGAGAAGATAGGAGCGCAAAGACTTAGATTAGGAGTTGTTTTAGTACTTTTATATTCCTTGTTGCTTTAATTTAATTGTATGATTTTATTGTAAGCCCGTAATTAACCCTGAGATGTAAAATGTTTTTATTTTTATGAGTTAATAGAATTCCGCAAATTTTTAGAAATAACTATGATAATCTGTAGAATAAATATTAGATAATTAGATGATAGAAAATCTGGGTCGTTACAATCCACAGTTAAACACTGGAAATACTTTGAATTAAACTTTGAGACCGTTTTCTACAAACAAAAACTCTGATTTTTTTTATTAAAGGTTATTTCAAATAGGCCATGGGAGGGGTGTTACAATTTGTATGTATAGTTCGAACGATTTACTTCATCAACCTTTAAAAATACAAGTCCGCACCGCGACAGAGAAACACACAAAAACCTCTAACAAGATTTGACGGACCACATATACCAAATGCAACATAACCATAATGATAAGGATGACGAAAACGAAACTGACAACAACAACGAATGGTAATTTTTATTTTGTAATGTTAAGCTTTTATTATTTATTGTATTTTTTTTAATTTTTAATGTTGTAATTTATGAATTTCAATAGTATAATGTTGTATTTTACAATGATATTAATTTAATTTTAATTAGGTAATTAATTTATTTTTATTTGTATAATCTGATATAATATTGTATTTAAAGAAATAAATACTAAAAAGATATTGATGATGTGGACATGTAAGTATTTCTTATGCGTTGTTTGTTTTTTCGAAGCTAAAACGTCCGTAGTCTGCAGACCACATCTACAACCCTGTACATCAGAAGAGGTAGATCAAACGTCTGTAAACTACAATAAGAAGTCTGTTTGCTTTTTAACGTCTAAAGATTGCTGAAATAAAATGCAATTAAGCATATAATAGTTTAAAATAATTCTAAATCAATAATTTATTTAGTTTTAATCATATGCAAATTGGATATAAAGATTATTATGATTATATAATTTTTAAAGACGCATATATAAATTAACTAAATATAATAATTGCTAAATAACAATAAATAAAATAGTTAATTTAGCGAAAAACATGTTCATTTTGTTAAATTTTACAAGACAATAGTTATTTATTCGGTTAACTTCAATAGATTTCGTAATTTTAATGATTAACTTTATTATTTATTAATATTTGGTTGTAGAAAATGTAATGCAAAAAAACATTTATGTGAAATTTACCAAATGGTTGTGAAATTATGTAAAGTATAATTGAATTGTTTATAATATTCTTCACAATATTATTAAAATAATAAATATGTTGTTGAAAAAAATTGTTGATTAATATAACTTAAAGTAAGGTGATAATTGGTTTGAATGAGGGTCAGTGCTGTTCCGCGCAACACATGTGAAACAGTTTTTAAATCAAAAGTCTTTTAAAAAACAAACAACTATGAAAGACTAAGGTAGTGTTTGTTTTTTGTCTGCAGAACTGCGTGACCTCTTCTGTCTGCGCCGCGCAGACCACGCGTAGACATTAGCCTTCGCAGACTGTTTGTTTTTTTAAAGACTGCAGACCTAAAAATGTTTGCGCGCCCTCTTCTTGGCGCAGATGTGGACTAGAGTCTTCTAACATCTTCAAACATCTTCTAGCTTAAAAAAACATATATATCTTTATTTTTTTTAGTTTTTTTTTTTAAATTTATATTTTTTCCAACTTTATTAATGATAAACAATTTGAAAAAAAAATTACAAAACTTAAAAAAGAAACGTTCGACGATACAAACATGATATTTTTGACAAATTTATAAATAAAGATTTATTACAATAATAGTCATTGAAGTTGTTTATATAAATATGAAAAAAATCATAATATATTCTTATATTTTTTTCCCAAATTTTGTAAAACATTATTTAATACAGTATCGTCAATAGGTGCGGAGCGGCAATCAAGATAGCAAGGAACGTAACCAATTAGGTTTCGTTTCTCGAGAAAATATTTATGGTACGTATTTAATGGATTTAATTGAAAAAATCGAAGTTTATTTCCATCCATTTATGTATCAAATTCTTTGATCACTAATTATAATGTTTAGTTATAACTTTGCAACCAAAGTTGTTGATTTTTATCAAATATATACGTTAATTCATACCATTTTTATTTTTATTTTTTATACAATAATACATAAAAGTTGATCTAGATTCATTAATTATTTATAACAAAGTCATAAAAATATTAAAAAATCACTTTGAAGTTTAAAAAAATCAGTTTATTTAGATTTCAGTTTATTTTAGTAGCCCGCAGATGTTAAAAAAACAAACAATCTTCTTTTTTCAGACTGACGTTTGGTCCACCTCTTCTACTGCAGAGGTCTACAGATGTGGTCCGCAGACTGCAGACATTTTGCCTCAGAAAAAACAAACAACACCTAAGTGTTGTATGTGTTTTGCACGGCCTAGCTAGAAGTGCTTTTAGAAAAAAAAAAACAAACACACAACCCCTTAGTTTACTAAGGATGTAGTGGGGTTGTAGTGAAGTTGAGATGATGGTGAGATAACACAAGTTTTGAGTAAGGGTATTGTGAACCATACCCAATAGCCTTAAGTGTCAATATTTATCTATCTTGCTTTTAACATAAACCTCTCTAATCTTATACTTATTTTTTTATCAAATCCAAATCTCTCTGGTATCTAACTCTTCATCTATTTCACAAGACTTGACAAACGTGTCGTGTCGAAACAGTAAATGGGTTGAGAATTTTTGATCCAAACTCAAACCATTTAATTATTGTGTCATGTTGTGTCAAATAATTTATTTCGGTGTCTAGTTCGTGTCAGGTTTCGGGTTAGGGTTAAACCTTGAAATTTATGGTCTCACGTGAGGTTGAAACACTAGGCATGTTGAAATAATAGGAGTTGGATAGACGGAAAAAATGAAAAAAGTAGTGGTTGCATGACAAAATGACTAAATTCATAGTAAAATTTAGAAGGCAAAATGGAAATGCTAGGAGTTAGGAAGGCAGGGGGACGAGTATCGAGATCATAAGGAAAAGGAAGTGGTTGATGGGAGTGTGTAGTTTGGGAGATGAAAAACTAAAAATGAAGTGTTGACTTAGGTGACTAACTCCTTTTCACATTACAAAATGAATTAACCAAAAGTTTTTCTTTTTCTTTTACATATGATTTTGGTTTTGGGTCTTTTAATATTATCTAAAGAATTAAAAAAAACTTGCTATGAAAGAAGTGAGTTTCCTATTCCATATTATGGCTGACCAATTCGTGTAGTATCAAGTCCAGAAGGACTATATGCTTGTTTTTTCCATCTCTCGATAGTACATTTATGCTAGTAAATCACTGAACTCAAACTCTATATCATATGAAAGGGAGCAAGCGATTAAGCGCCCATAATCTTATGTCTTAGAGCCAATAATGTAAGTAATACAGAGTAAGGATAAGCTTTTTAACCGAAAAACCGAACCAGAATCGGAACCGATTGGAACTGAATAATGGTATTCGGTCTGATTTTTGTTCTTAGTTTATGACTTATTCGGTTTTGATTTTTCGGTTCCGGTTCAGTTTCAGTTCCAAACACCTTCTCAGATAGCACATTTCTTAGTAGAACCAAACCGAAATCGGAACCGAGTAGTGATAATCGGTTTGGTCAACCACTATATATGTCTAGTGTAGACTATACATGGTGAACAGGTGAAATGATTATTGTTAACACCGGTGATGGAAAAATGTCAAGTTGTTCAACTACAAAACCGCATTTATGAACGGACCTATATATATATATATATATATATATATATATATATATATATATATATATATATATATATATATATATATATATACCCGAGGCACCTTTCAATTTTTCTTAATAATGTTATATATATATATATATATGCCCGAGGCACCTTTCAATTTTTCTTAATAATGTTATATATATATATATATATATATATATATATATATATATATATATATATGCCCGAGGCACCTTTCAAATTTTCTTAATAATGTTAATTTTTTTGGTATAATTACAAGCATTGAAAAATAATTGGGCTACACTTAGGTTTCTATGTCCAAAGAAAGAGTATAAATTTAAAAGATTGACAACCCAAACAAAAAGAGCTAAATGTAAAAAGATTAAAAAAAAAAAATCAAAAACAAAAAAAGAAGCCCAAGAGGTTAAACATCCCCTTAATGAATTTGGGTCTTGGGATGATACCGGCAAGCTTAGTCCATCAGGGAAGAAAAAAGAAACAGGCACAGTATCCCGCGACACATAGCGCCTCACCCTCACGAGTCACGACCCTGCTCCACCCACTGCCATCGACTTTTCCGGCAGCTTTCACCGCCACGCCGGCAGCTCCACAGCTTCGGCTACTTCCCTCCGAACCTGCAAGAATGCAACAAGTAAGCATTAAGCATTTAAGGTTTTTAGAGTTATTCCAATTCTTTGTCATTTTCTTGAAAACTTGAAATTAGCAATTAGGTTTATTTGATTAAGGTTAGCATTTAGTTATTACTTGTTGAAACTTGAAATTAGTTATCTTCATGTCTTGATGTTGAATTATTGATGAAATATTGAAATTGGTTGTAGGTTTGGGTTTCCAAAGTTCATCAGTAGGTTTCTGAAATTAGTACGTAATTGAGTTTTGTTGTCTATCTGTTATCCAAAGTTCCAATCTCATTGATGACAATTTCACTTGTTGTCTAATTGTCTAGCTTACATGTTGAGTTTTGTTGAAATCTTTTTGCTAAGTTGTTTAAATATTTAAATTTAAGGTCCCATTGGGTCTTTTTTTGGACAGGAAGCTCCAACTCCAACTCGAAGAATGAAACAAGTAAGTTACTTACTAAAAATCTAAAAGTAGGTGTTCTTTTGCTTTGAGAAGCAGAGATTTATCAGATGTTGTCTTCATGTCTTGATGAAATATTGAAAGTAGTTGTAGATTTTGGCTTTCCATTGATGAAATATTGGAATTAGTTGTTCTTTTGCTTGTAGTTATAGACAAATTATTTATTAGATCCGTTACGATAATATCTTGTTCTAGTTTGTTTTATGCGTTTAAAAACCAAGCTTTTTAAAGCTTTGATGCATATTACGTTTAAGATCGACTCACATATTTTCTTTCTATGGTTAGTATTAGCTGAGGGATGAACTGCAAAATGAAACTATGCAGCTTTGAGTACAAAATTTTAAATTAATAGCATGTAAAGTTAACATGATGCTTATTGAATTAATAGAGTGTAAAGTTAACATGGTGATTATTTTATGCAGGACATAATTTGGAAAAAGAACCACAGATCAGAGAGCTGTGAAACCACGTTAGATCTTCATATAACCATGTTCTAATCTCCTCCCAAAACTTGAACACTTGAAATAGTGATGATCCTTAGGTAATGTTTGGTATGAAGATGTCTTCTTTAGGGTTGTGGTTCTCATTGGTGTTCCAAAGCTACCGTTTGGCATGTGGTTTTTCACATGTGAATAAGTTTCAAATACATTTCCACCTAATTACCTAAATGACTTAGGAGCTAGACGAGATGTTGCATAACCATTTTTCCTAAAGAAAAAAAAAAAAAACAAATCTAACCAGATTCCTTAATTACTTTCCAAAAAATAGTCAACAAATTGAAAAATGGCCAATATAGCTATCAAAATCGTCATTTAGGCATTTAGGCTGCGATTTCATTATATATATATATATATATATATATATATATATATATATATATATATATTCCGAGTTTTTCCATTTTGGCATGATGAAATCGTAGTTGGCATCCGGCCATCTGCGATTTCCTTTGAAGTCATCTGGGTTTTCTTCTCCTTAAGTGAGATTTTACAAGTGTCTAAAAATTAGGATAAATGAGATTGTACAAGTGTTTAATGCATAAACTTATGCATTGGATGCTTGTACAATCTCACTTGGGGAGAGGAGTTTCTAGATGAGATTGAGAAGAGGAAACCGCAGATGAGGTGAGATTGTAAAAAAATATAACAATAGGTGAAAATTTGTCGTTTCTATTTTCCTTATTAAAATTCAGAATCTATGCTTGCATTTTAAAAATTTTAATTAATAATTAAATACGTATCTTATACTGTCTCGTTATTTCAGCTGACCATCCAATGAATTGGCCCCGGGATGTTTCTCTCGCCGGAATCTCTACTGCAACTCCTTCAACGTTTCATCAAAAACTCCAGCCAAGTCAAGCAAATTCATTCCCTCCTCATCATCGGCGGTAATCTCCTCCCTAACCCCAACTCATCTACCTTCAAATGGAAACCCACCTTACTCTACAACACTCTCATCAGAGCTTACCTCAATATCCATCTCCCTCACACTACCTTACTCCTTTTCACCCACATGCTTTCCCATAACATCCCACCAAACCCCCATACTTTCCCTTCACTAACCAAAGCTGCTGCTGCTTATACAACTCCTTCCCTCATCGCTAAACCCCTTTACACTCAAGCCCTCAAGCGCGGAGTATTACCAGATCCCTTTGTACAAACATCATTCATTCATTTGTATGCTAAAAGCAACTGTCTTTCCTATGCACAGAAGGTGTTCGACGAAATGCCTGAACCATGCCTTGTTTCCTGTAACGCTATGCTTGATGGGTTTTGCAAGAATGGGGATATGAGTTCTGCTGTTTCCTTCTTCGAATCAATGCCAATGAGGGATGTCTATTCCTGGACTACCATCATCAACGGGTACAGCAAGAAAGGATGTTACGAGACTGCAATTCGGTTTTTTCAAAGGTGTTTAAGAGATTGTTCTGTGAAAGCTAATGAAGCTACATTCGTTAGTGTTCTTTCTGCTTGTGTTCATTCTGTTACATCTGGGAAGCAGATACATGGGTATATCATCAAGAACGAGGATCATGTAAGTCCCTTTACTGGGACTTCACTGATATATTTATATGGGAAAACAGGTCATTTAGATTACGCCACAAAAGTGTTTGAAAGTATGTTGAAAAAGGAAACTTGTACATGGAATGCAATGATTTGTGCTCTATCTTCACATGGAAAAGATAAACAGGGTTTAGAAATGTTTGATAAGATGAAGATCGAAGGGTATCATCCAAATGAAGTTACTTTTGTTGGGATTCTTGCTGCTTGTTCACATGGCAACCTTATAAATTTAGGTTTAGAATTATTCAACTCAATGTTGCCTCAATTTGGTGTTGTTCCAAAAATGGAACATTATGGATGTGTGGTTGATCTATTGGGTAGATCAGGGTTTTTGGCAGAAGCAAAAGATTTCATAAGTAGGATGCCATTTGAGCCTGATGCCTCTGTTTTAGGTGCTCTTTTGGGTGCTTGTAAACTTCATGGGGATATTGATTTAGGAAATGAGGTGGCTAAAAGGCTTCTTGAGGTAGACCCTCAACAATGTGGTCAATATATAGTTTTATCGAGTATTTATGCTGATGTTGAGAATTGGGGTCATGCTGCCTTTTTGAGGAATGTTATGGTTGGAGTAGGTGTTCATAAACCTCCGGGTTATAGTGTGGTTAACTCAATGTAAAGAATTAGTTTGTGCACATTAACGAATGTTAGGGTTGTCATAACATGTATTAGATTTTTAGTATTAATAAAAGAGTTGACTCCAAATATATTATGAACTTCATGGGAAAATGTAGTGTAAATTTGAAGCTTAGTACATGAATTTTCATTTACCATAGACTTACGAAAAGTCTATTTGAAGGCATGAAGTATGATAAGGGAATTAATTCGGTTACAACTAACTCACTTTGTAGGTTACACAACCCAATTTCTTTGTAAATAAGAGTTTCGTATTGTAATAGATATTAAAGAAACTCAATGATACTTACTTCTCCTTGTTAACTTATTCATCAATTTTGGTGATAATCTAGCAAAGGGGTTGATAAACACAAAACAACACAACATGTATTTCTCTTTCACTCGATTGAGTGAAGAATCGGGCAAAACTTATGAGTGGGTCCCTACCCAATTTATCAATTCACAAACCTATAAATTCCTTTTGGGTGATTGTCAAGATCCAAGAAACTAGTAGATTGTAACGGATGGAAAGAAAAATAGTTTAAATTTGAACAAGGACTCTAGTTCCAATTTTAAAGTCTGTAGAATTATCCGAAACACCAATCTTTCTTTACAAACTAATTAAGCACGCCCCAAAAAAATTACCATTAACTTTCGTTTCACAAACAGACAACAAACTATCTATTTTTCACAAAATACCATTATTTTATAAGATGTCATTGGAAGAAGGTAAACAACTAGAACTTTGTGTTCACAAAATACAATCATTTTATTGGTATTTTGTGAATAAAAATAAATAATTTATTACCTACTCATGATATTTTCTTTAGACAATACCGTTTTGTAGGAATCTAACTTCCAAAAAAGACTCTTTGTAGGATGATTGAATCGTGGGAATGGGGTGTCTCACTGTTTGTGTTGTCCATCACTTCATAAACTACAAAATAATACAAAAAAGACTCTTTGTTCCTTAAATTTCCTGCACAGAAAATACAAACCAGACTTTTTTTTTGGGTTGGAGAGAGTGGGACTCACCACCAACTCGCTATCGCTATGAACGCCAAACCCACTCCCATCAAACATGTTAGGCAGCTCGTTAAGGTTGGTGAGCTATTGGAGTAGTGAGATGAAAGAGAAGAGAAATGAACTTTAATTGACTGTTTCTTTTTTCTTTTATTTTATTCCAAAATAAAATAAAATAATATTTAGTTGCTACCACTCCTTACAAATTTACAACATAGATGCTACCATTATTTTATCCTATATGGCTTTAAAAAAAATCCTATGTACATCCTTAACAAAATGCCATGTCATTTAGTTTAGTTAAATACTTACGGAAACTAGAGTGTTTTCTTACATAAATTGAGCATGAATTTAATATTAGTTTTTGAAATAGGAATGACCAAACTAAAAATAGTTGATACGCATTGAACAAGGCTACAAGAAGTAGTATTTTGTGACCAATGGAAATAGGAATAAAATCCCGTCTTATAATCGTCTAATTTCCCCCCATTAATTATTAAGAAGTAGTATGCATGTGCACTCTTCTCTGTTGACCAATGGAAAACCACAACGATGAATCGATCAATTTCGGGAGATCACTGATAGTACCAAGTGTTCAAGAACTTGCTAAGAAATCCATCACCAAGATCCCACCTCGGTATGTGCGCCAAGATCATAATCAGAAACCCTTACTCACTTCATCCGATGACACCTCCAATCTCTCTGTACCTGTCATTGATCTTCACACCTTATTTGCAACCGATTCTGGATCTTCGACGTATTCTTCTGAGCTCAGTAAGCTTCATACAGCTGCTAAAGAATGGGGTTTCTTCCAGGTCAGTGTTCTTAAAGTCTATTTGACTCGATTTAATCCTTGTAAATTAGAAATTGTATACGTTGTTGGATTGCAAATCATGATGAAATCCAAATCAAGTACTAACATATGCTAAGAATCAAAGTTTTGTTTCCATTATATCGTATTCAGCTCATATAGTCGATAAAAACAGGTTATAAACCATGGAGTAAGTGAGCCCTTATTAGAGGATTTTAAAAGGGAAGTCTTGAACTTCTTCAAGCTTCCAATGGAAGAAAAACAGAAGCTCTGGCAGGAAGAAGACAATCATGAAGGTTTTGGTCAGCTTTTTGTTGTATCAGAGGAGCAGAAGCTTGATTGGTGTGACATGTTTTACATAACTACCCTTCCACGCAATCTTAGACAATTTCAACTATTTCAAAAGTTACCTCCGGTTCTCAGGTTCTTTCTTCCTTCTACAAACGAAAGGCTTCTCGTCTATAACTTTGCATGTCTGTTATTGATTGTTGTAACTTAAATAAATGAAAGGCACGTAAAGAAGGTTTTCTCCATTAAGTCCTCACTTTTTACAAAATTGCCCTGATTCTTTTTCCTTCCATTTCCCTAAGTATGTTGTCATTTTCTCATATATCTTTTAATCATAATCATCAATCCAGACAATATATAATGTGAAGAAAAAAAGAAACACGATCCTAATTGTTTTAACAACTTTGAAGAAATTTGTAGAGATAAGTTGGAAGCTTACTCTACGGAAATAAAAAAGCTAGCAATGGCTATCTTAGGTCAAATGGCTAAGGCTCTAGGGATTGATGGAGAAGAAATGAGTGAATTGTTTGATGATGGGGTTCAGTCGATGAGAATGAATTACTATCCCCTATGTCCGGAACCGGAATTGGCTTTGGGATTCACTCCTCATTCCGATGCCGATGCTTTAACGATTCTCTATCAATTAACCGAAACAGAGGGACTTCAAGTTCGAAAAGATGGAAAATGGGTATCTGTTAAACCTTTGCCAAATGCTTTGGTAGTCAACATTGGAGACATAATGGAGGTAATAAAATATATAAGTTCCTTGATTGATTAATTACGGGCTAAATGCAAAGAATAGTAATGTACTTTCTTATTGAGAAATAATGGGTATCTCTTTTCTTATTGAGAAATTGTACTTTAAAATACTTAGCCAATTATAGCATCGTGTTTTCATTTTTTTGTACATTATATTTCAAAAAATTTACCAAATCATAGTAGTAGAAATTTCTTTTAATTTGAATCACATTGCTATACTTCGGTGGATGTTGTAATAGGACGAAATGAAAGTAAATGCTATAATAAACAAATCAACGGACTTACATTGCTTTCTTTTGCATTTAACCCATTGAATATTAAGGTATTTCCATTTTTCATTCCTTTGCCATTAGTTGTATTGTTAGACATACATTCTGGATCTTCATATATTACAAAATTCAACAAAGATCTTCATTTCCATTGTTGTTTTTATTGCTTGTGTATCAGAAACTTGGAAAAAGAAAAAAAAAAAAAAAACAAACGTGTAACCAAAACCCAAAAAACCTCAAATTTGATATTTGTTTGCAGATCATAACTAATGGCGTGTATAAGAGCATCGAGCATCGAGCAATAGTGCATTCAAACATTGAGAGATTATCAGTTGCCACATTCTATAGCTCGAGTATGGGTACTGAATTGGGGCCCGCAAGAAGTCTTGTTGTACAACATAATATACCAAACTTCCGCCGAGTCCCTCTTGAGGAATATTTCAAGGGATTTTTTGCTCGAAAGCTAGATGGAAAGTCATTCTTGGATTATATGAAAGTTGAAGAATTGAAGAAAAATGTTACATAGTTGAATTATAGGTTTGTTGTGTTTTCTGTTTTTATTTCTTTTTGAAGTATGAAGCTCCATTAAATGAGGCAAAAGGATATGGTTATCATGAATGAACCTTTTACTTTGTTGATTGTGAACACATACAAAAGATGTTTATTTATACAAAAAACTCGGTTAACATACCCGACATACAAAAGTTGAGAATGAGGCTAAACTACAACTACCAACTTTTCTAACAATACTTTAGAACGGTTTTGAATTTCACGAAACAAAAGAAACCATTGATATAGTTCAAACTACATAACCTTCTTCATTCAAGTTCTCTTAAAGTTTCATAAACTCCAAGTTTGACTTACCATCAAGCTTTCGAGCAAAAAAATCCTTGTAATATTCCTCAAAAGTGACACGTAGAAAATTTTCTACATTATGTTGTGCAATAAGGCTTCTTGCGGGGCCTACTTCTACACCCATATTGGAGCTGTAGAATGTGGCCACTGATAACCTCTCCTCGTTTGACTGCACTGTTGCACAATGCTCTGTGCTCTTGTATACACCATTACTTACAACCTGTAAACACGGATAAAGTTAGGGTGAGCACAATTCGATTAGGTTCATTTTTTTCCTAGAACCGAAATCGAACAAAAAAAATCCAGCTTCTAGCCCTAAAAAGAGAAGTTGTTGGGGTCTTTTGGATTTGGTTTTTTCTTTTTCTTTTTCTTTATCTTTTTCAGCTAGTTTTATAAGCAAATAAAACGGAAATACATGGGGTTGTTGAATTCAAATCCGAAAGAGAATGAAGAAGATATTTGTTGAAGTTTGCAATATATAACTGCAAATATATTCTAGAATCTAAATCAAACAACACAACTCATTGCACCATTGTAGTTTTAATCATTTTTCATGAAGGCATTATACTTTTAAAGCAAAATACCGAATGAAAGTAAAATGGTATCATAAACAAATCAATGAAAGCACATTCTATTTTTTGTATCAAAACCGATTGAAAATATCAAATCGATTATCCTTTTGTCATCTTGGTGAAATCATGAATTATGTTATTACCTCCATTATGTCCCCAATGTTGACTACCAAAGCATTTGGCAAAGGTTTAACGGATACCCAATTTCCATTTTTTCGAACTTGGAGGCCAGTGGTTTTGGTTAGTTGATAGAGGATTGTTAATCCAGTTGCATCAGAATGAGGGGAGAATCCCATAGCCAATTCAGGTTCAGGACATTGGGGATAGTAATTCATCTGTAGGAACTGGGCACCATCATCAAATAACTCCGCCATTTCATCCTTGTCTATCCCTAGAGCCTTACCCATTTCACCCAAGATGCCTACTGCTAGTTTTTTTATTTCCCTAGAGTAGGTGTCCACCTTCTCACTGGATAAAAAATGTTTCAGAAATATTTGAGAAAATGGAAGGAAAAAATAAAAAATTAATGAATAATTTGTTAACATATGATGAAGAAAGCTCATTCTTTCTGGATTAACTCAAATAGGAAACACCCATATATAACTTACTGGATTAAGGCATGCACTTATTAAGTCAATCAAGTCAAAGAATACGAAATAATGAATTATATGAGTAACTTGAAGACAAATTAGGTAATTGTTTTTTTTTTACCTGACGCGCATCATACGTACAGCTTGCACGATGTGAACTCGATACGCTCTTCATTTTGGATGTGTATTTTGAAAGTGATTAAATAGATCATTGCTCCTTGAAGTCATAATATTCAATTTCTGGTATGACTATTTGCACAACCTACTCTTTATAATTACCTAACTACTTAGGGGTTGAGTAATCTGTTAAATCGTTTTAGGAAGATTTGTAGGAACAAAAAGTAGAAGGATATTTAATTTCTCTTTATTATTTGTTATCGATAGTAATTAAACGCACTATCTTATTATCTACATTTTTATGTATATAATATTCCTATATATTAAAAGGTGGTAGAGATAACAAAGCGATACGTAATCTAGTAGAGTTAACAAAGCAATACGATAAATATCCTGGATAACGGGTGAAATAAATATATTTTTTTGTAATAGATTCTAAACCTTAGATAACTTTAGAAAGTAAAAATAAAAAGAGAATAAAAAAAGTTATAACAAATGTTTAATCAAATTTCAATGTTAATTTATAGCAATGCAACCAAATTTAATTTGACTCCCTCATAGGAGGGGGATCAATATCTTTCAAGGTTGTCAAGATTGAGATTCTATATAGAATCATTTTTGGATTTACAAGATCGGGATCGAGATTCTAAGATCCCACAAAAAAAAACATAATTTTAATTTATAACTTCAAAACATGAAAAATATCTTCAATATTTAGTTTTCCATTCAAAACCTATAACTTCTGAATATTAGTCACAACAAAAAAGGTAAACGGTGAACCGGTAAAAAGTAAAAGCCTTAAGATGGTAAATTCAGTTTTTCATAATTTTTTTTATAATTTTTTCAAAAAACAAATCAAGGAAGGGTATCTACTATCAAAATCGGGATTTTGACATAATTGGAATTAGACAAAAACTCAACACCGTGATTTCATTAGAACTTCAAATAACAAACACGTCCAACATTATCTACTACACCCCATTTTATTATTGCTAACATAATCACTTTTAAAACGCATATATATCCAGTAATTAACAGACATGCATGCAAAATTAAAAATTTAATTAAACTAGTTTCATTTGGAGTAGGAAAAAAGAACCTGAGGATGAGAGGTAACTTCTGAAATAGTTTGGAATTTCTGATATTATGTGGAAGGGTATTTACGTAAAACTTGTCACACCAATCAAGCTTCTGATCCTCCGATGCAACAAACAGTTGACCGAAACCCTCTTGGCTGTCTTCTTTCTGCCAAAGCTTTTCTTTCTCCTCCATTGGAAGCTTGAACAACTTCAAAACTTCACTCTTAAAATCCTCTAATAAGGACTCACTTATTCCATGGTTTATAACCTGTTAATTTACATCAACTTTTATATATTTTATTACAAATCTCCATTTATTTAGCATATTAATATCATGATTTTGAAACCTAATTAACCATGGAATTGAAACAACTTGTAGTTAACAACGACTAAATCAAGAGAAGTAGACTTAATTAGTGAATGCTGACCTGGAAGAAACCCCATTCTTTAGAAGCTGAATGAAGCTTATTGAGCTCAGAGGAATAAGTGGAAGATTGAGAATCGGTTGAAAATAAGGTGTGAAGATCAATCACAGGTACAGATAGAGTGGAGGTGTCATCGGATGATTTGAATAAGGGTTTCTGATGATCTTGGCGTACATAACGAGGTGGGATCTTTGTGATGGATTTTTTAGCAAGTTCCTGGACACATGGTACTATCAGTGATTTCCCGAAATTGATCCCTACATCCTTGTGGTTTTCCATGGATATTCAGTCCTAAAGAATACTATATATGTCTCAGTAATGAATATTAAAGGAATTAATGTAAGGCAGTGTATGTGTGTATAATGGTACTTATAACATGACAGTGTTAATTGCTGTGTTGCTTGTCAATTCTTCATATTTTAAACAACTCTGAAAATTTGAACTTTTTTATGGTGTCGTTCTCAAAATATTTTCTTAATAGTTGTAAATTTGTAATACAGAAAAAGAAGATGAAGACCATCGGTATAGCAAACTTAGATATTTTCTACTCATCCTTTATGAAACTTAAAGTTGCAATGAAATAACCACAGAATAATGAACACTTAAAATCTCCCGGAAAAAAAAGTGAATTAAGGAACGGGAAACTATTTTTGTGCGTCTCTGAATTGGGTATTTCTAGATCGTGTGATTTCTTGGCTTGAACATGTTTCCAATACTACTTACTTATTGGAGTCGGATGTCCTAACACAAAATCAACCTAACAATAGTCAAATATAACGTAAATAAAGGAAGAAGCTTGATACACAAAAATAATGTTTTTAAAAAAAATGTCTATAGTTGTTAAATCAGAAAAATTGGTAAAGTTTAGTGGTTTTACTGAAAAAAGAATATAACAATTATATGGTAACCTGCAATAAGAGATCTCGGTGGTCGCATTAAAACTTCTTTACAAGGATTGGTGGTTTTTTCGTAAAAAACTAAAATATAGTGCTTAAACCGATTTTTGACCAAAATATAATGTTTTTTTCAGGCATTTTCTTCTCTTTTGGATATTGAAATATCTAGCAAATGAAGTTAATTTTAACCAAATTGTTGAACTTATTTGTTTTATGAATTTGCAAAGACCAACTACCTATTAAGTTACGTTCAGCCACTTGAGCCTTGTCCCTGATTTGTTTTTGATGATTTGGAACCAATACCCCTAGCATATTTTCTAACTGTAGTAGCCATAATGATCCAATCCAAACTAGAAAATAAAATTTAAATTAATATGATAACAATGCACTCTACCTATGGGTTGTACGTGCATGACTGAAATAATGTACAATTTAAAACAGGACGAATGAACAAGTAGATGAGACAAGTGAATCAACCATATTATATTTAAGTGACTTGATAAAGTAACTCCATAAAAGCCGGCCATGGCAATTGAGATCCAGCCAAGGGAGTTATATACTTATATATGATTGGCAAAACAAACAGATAACAATAATATCAAAATTAAAAAGAATTGTATGTTTTTGTAAGTTTGGGCATGCCTTCTTCTTTGGCGTCGCATCATGTAGGTAAAATTAAATTTGTGTCATCTTCTTTAGGGTCACATCATAAAAAAATGACCTAGTCCCTAGTACAGATGAAAATGAGATATGAAGTAAATGGACGGGTTTAATGTTAAGATGATGTTGATGCACTTTAACTAGATTCAACTGGAGTTATTATGTATTAGCAAGATACTTTGAAAACGGAAACAATACCATACATTTATTTACTATAATGATTTAATCTGGGGAAAATGGCATTCCAGTAACAACTAAACAGTGAAAACAATACTTGACAATTTCGACTCATTTTTCTAAACTATATGAATCTGGATTATATTTTATCTCAAACTAGCCAAATAGGCCAATTGTAGATTTCATCATCCATCTCATATCTCAACATTACTTGCACGAATCGCCTTGAATCATAGTCATATGAAAGGCCTTCTTCTTTATCAATAAGTTAATTTCTAAAACCTAGAGTTGCTTCCTTACTTTGGTACCCTAGTTCTGACATCGATTGCTCCTTATCTTTTTGATGCCTATGTATGCTTCTTCACAAGGTATCTGCATCATATAATTAATATATTCAAACATCTAACTATATGATCAACTGATCATCTAAGTGGAACATACTTGTAAATACTATTATTCACTACTTAAGATACACAGACCTGAAAATAGTATGCATGGTCCCAAACATCTATGCCAACAAGAGGAACAAAACTTGTACCATTTGTAACCAGGGTCCTACACCGCAACTAGATACATACATAATAATCTAATCTATCAGAAAATCTACATAATTTATTCTAATAAAAGGCTCAATAAGATTTGTTATAATCTCATTTATTTCCATGTGGAAGTATCTCCTGAGACTGAGACTTAGGAAGGGATGATTATTGTATTTCAACCATATTTTGACAATACTCTGCTATTGAGGCTGTCCAACTTGGAAGAAAATCTTAAAGATATTTTGTTTACTTTTTTGTTTTGGTCTAATATTTGTCCCTTTTTTAGTTAAGAGTGTTTGGTATACTGACATTTAGAGTATGAATAAAAATTGATTATTGATCAATCTAAAGATTATTAAGTGTAGTTTTTAATTGTAAAGGTTGTTTTCTATCGTCAACCTTCATAATGATTCAAAATGACTTGTTGTAATTGACCAAAAAATGATTCCTTGGATTTGAAAGAGTTAGGCAAGAAGTTTTTGAACACATTTTTCTATGTCCCATGAAAATTGCAAAATGACATAGATATTTTCATCAAAAACAAAAATTAACCCCATGTGACGGGTAAATCGGTAAAATTGAACTTTAAAAGTTGTCAAAAAGGGAACGTTTGTGATTTTTCAAGGGGTACATGGGGTATAACGTTTTTATTTTGGCCTATGGTTAGAGGGGTATGATGGTAACTTTAACTTGTGGTTCTCAATTTCAGGGTTCATTAATTATAATTTTCCAGGTCATGCTTTAGCCAAAGTTCAATATAGAAGTAACTATCAAGCCTCTGTTATCCTCTATTTTCTTCTTTCTGCATCAGGTTTTTCTTTTGTTTTCCCGACTTTTCATCTTCTACATCAGACCTGTTTTTGAACCATGAAAATATAATTCTCAGTATAAGTGTTTTTTGCATCAGACTTTATGCAAGGTTGCACACTAAAAAGTGTACGTAAGAGTACATTAAACCAATGACAGCTAAAGTTAAGGTATTTCTAACTCTAGAGTCGAAACGTTTGCTATGCATTGCTTTCAAGAAACAACAATGTACTTTCATTTATTTAAAAAGATAGATCTAGTTTTGGATACTTTATCGTCTTGGTTTTATTTTTATATTCATTTGTCTTTCTATTTTTTACGTAAACCATGAGAGCATGATTTTCAGGAGCTTTAACCACTGCTAATATATGTCAGAAAATACATGTTTATTCTTTAATTTAATCGGTTCGTTTATTGGAATTTTTAGACTATATGTAAAAACTGAATTATTAAAATTTTATATGCATGATAATTGTATAGAAGGTACATTAAGTATGGTGTAGTTGTTCTGGTTCTCTTTATTAGTGTTAGATCACCATCAATTGATTTTTTTGTATCCAAGTATCTTATATTTGAAAATACAATGCTCTGATTTGGGTGTCATTCCATAATTCTATTTTTTTTTTCTTTTTTCTAAAAAGTACATTGCTTTTCAAGAAAGGAAGAATATTTGTATTTGCATCTGTGTCTAATCCAATGATCTTTTTGAAAGGAACATCTAGTACAGTAACATCCCAAGAGGTTCGTTTAATTTTGTCCATTATGTAGGGGTCGAAACGTATATAGTGAGGAGTCGAAATAAGTTGAGTCTGTAAGGGTTCGAAATCCAAATGATTTTGACTCTCTATGTATTTCAAGACATTGTTTGTATTCGAAGCTAGAATGTTTAGTCCTTGTATTTTTTGCTGAGTATGTTGTACCCTATAAATAGGGTAGGTACTAAAGTTGAGAGTAACTTTTGTGCTCTTCAGTTTGTAGACACTCTCAAAAACTTTGTACTCTCTTCAGACTAATACGAGCCAATCATATCATATTTAAATGATGTGTTCTTACTACTTTCTTTGAATGATTTTGTGTTCGTTTATCGATTCTAACTCACATCAATTGGTATCAGAACAGGATTCATCCAATCAATTTCAGTTTTCTCGTGTTTTTTCATATTTTTTGAATCGCTCTTTCCGATTCAAAATATTTCGCAATTTGAATAAGAAAACTTGTTTCAATTGATTGTTTTGTTTCGATTCTGCACTCTGTTTGTTAGATCGATTGATTACTGATCAATCTCTATTTGATTATCCTTTCAGATATCTCTTTTTGAATATAAAATCTCATTCGTCCATACAACAATGGAGAACTTCAACATGAACACTATGTCGAGTTTGTCACACTTGCTCAGATCATCTACTAAGATTCCGATTTTAGTCCAGAATACTACGAGCAGTGGGCCGACAGAATGGAGGAATATTTGAATGGAATAGATGAAGATCTTTGGAGATGTATCAAAAGTGGTAATCATCGTGCTAACACGACTTAAAATGTTGGAACTGCTGGTTCTTCTGCTGCTGATATGGCTTTGCGAAAGGACAGAATTGAAGCGAATGACAAGAAATGTCTACATGAACTACGTGGTGCTCTTCCACCTGTAGTTTACAATTACGTCTGAAGTTGTAAAATAGCAAAAGAGATTTGGGACACATTGAAAGGAAAAATATCAAAGCAATGAGAAGACAAAGAAAAGCTCTGTGAAGCAGTGTTTGTTGGAATTGGAGGAGTTCAAGCAGAAGGATAACAAATCAATAGAGTCTTACTATGATCGTTTGAACGAATTGATATTCAAATGTACATGATACTGTGTTACTCGTTCGTATCTGGAGTTCAATCTTACTTTTCTGATGGGTTTGAGAAAAGAGTGGAGAAACATTAGCCTCATGATCAAAACTCAAGAGAGTTTCGATGGTTATTCGTTGGCTAATCTATATAATGAACTGAAAGCTCATGAAAGTGAGATAAATGAAATTGCTAAAGAAGAAAAGTTAAGTTTGGGAAGACCATTGGCACTGATGTCGAAAGTGACTGCCAAGGAATCTAAAGTCGAATCTGTTGAAGAAGATAAACTTGAGGAAGAAGGTTTTCTGCTTAATTCTGACGATGAAGCAGTGGCTTACTACTCAAACAACAAAGTAAAGAAATTCTACAAGAA